CATAATAAGACATCACCAGAAAAAAAAATTACAACAATCATATTTTTTCTCTCCCTGTCGCCGGTTGTATTATATCTGTGGAATAGATCCTGTTTTGATTAATATTAGAGGTTGTAAATGTTTGACTAAAATTAATAATTTTTTATTAATTTCAAAAATTACGTAATTTCGATTATAAAATTTCTTCTATAACGTGTATTTTATTATTTTTATCCTTTTTGGACTCTAAGACGTTTTTTCTAAACTTTTATTTAAAAAGCCTGTCCTAAATCTTAATAAAATATAAAAAAGTTTAAATACGATATATTTCTAATTTAATTAATGCTTCATTAAATTAAAAAAATTACCCGGCTATGATACGGAGAGTTCAGGTGTACTTGAGAAACGAAAGACAGTGTTGTGTTTCTCGGCAGAGTCGTCAGGGAACGACCGTTACGACAGAGACAACCTATCTATCGCTCGTGTCGCACTCGTTATAACCTAAAACAATAACACAACAATAACAAGACATTGTCTGACCGCATGTTCCAGCTATTTATGAATGAGATGCTCAGTCTATATTTTATTTTAAGTCTATGACCGCGACAGAGCCGAACAGTCGAAACAAGCATTTTATGTGATCGCAAGCACGTGGAGCACGGCGAGCGTCGCGAGCGCCGCGAACATCTCGTTCCGACTGTTTGTCATGTTTTTCGTATTCCACGTGTTAGTTCGGCCTGCTCGCGAGCAATGTGGACGCACCTTTAGAATTCTTGCCCACATATTCATCGACCAACGGTCTTGATGCTGGACTACTTGCGTCCAGTGTAGATTTGTTTTGGATCAAAAGTGAATAATTATTAACATTCACACCTTCGTTGCTATATGAAAAGTGACACGAACAACATAAACTTAACACAAACAACAAGAAAACTCAAACAGAACCCAAACACGAAAACACGCCAAATGTTGGAGGAAGTTGGATAAATAGGAACTAAATGACATTAGCATGAAACTAATATAGTCCAGAAGGCAGTAATGATTTTCGGTACTTATTTTCCCAGTCAGCAAACATACCGATAGAATTATTCGGTATGTTATTTTAAGCAAATGTTAGACACATAAAGGGGGGGGGGGTTGTACAAATATATTCAAATTCAAATTTAAAAGTACTTTATTGTTAAAAAACATATAAATTTTTGTTAACAAAGCATATTCCTAAATCTAAACCTAAAATATTTATTGCCAGCAATTTTAACATTAAAAAACAGTTTAAGTAAATAAATGCGTGTAAATATAAAAACAAAAAACCAAAAAATTGTGTAAATAAAAAATTGAACAAAATACATACATTTAAACAAACAAACAAAATTCAGCAAAATAGGTTTAAAGAAGTAAGTAAAGTAACATATACAATATACAGACTAAAGATAAGATAAAAAATAAAACTAAAAAGAATATGTCAGACCGACAAGCAATTCTAAATTCTAAACACTAATATTAGGGGTGTCCTGGTAGAATTCGTCAACGCTGTAAAATGCCCTACTTAAAAGTTCTTTTTTCAGTAGCCTCCGGAAGGTTTTTATGGAATTAACCAATCTTAAAGCAACCGGCAGATGATTAAAGTCCTTTCAGCCCTCATATATTATAGATCTTTTGACCAAGGTGCTATTTGGAAGTGGCAAGGGCAGATTCAGGGTTTCGCGGGTAACAATATTGGGTATAGGACCCTGTAGTCTGTTACGATTTTTAAAAATAAGGGATGATGTTTCCAGAATAAAAAGAGATGGTAGAGTATGAATTTTTTGAGCTTTGAAGTGTTGTCTACAGGATTCGTTATGTGATACATTTACAATAAATCGTACGGCCTTTTTTTTGTAAAATAAAAAGAATGTTTAGTAGACCCTGATTAGCCACAACCCAGAATGGTATTTCATACCGGAGATGAGACTCAAACAAACTAAAATAGACCGTCCTTGCCACTTGTGAACGCAGTTCTTCCTTAATTGCCCTAACAGCAAAGCATCCAGAAGACAACTTGCCACTTAGCCAGAATATGGTCTTCAAATCGCAGATTTCCATCAATAATAATTCCTAGGAATCTAGTCGCAGGAATTCCTGTATTGCATATTTTCCAGCGATAAAAATAGTTCTATTAGTCAGAGATGTTGTGAGAATGGGTAATATGTCTGGCAGAGGAAAAATTGGATAAAAATTATTAAAACCATTGCCCTTATTTTCGCAGTCCTAAAAATGTGTCAGGTGAAGATAGTTTTATATTATAATTACAGCTGCAAAATATAGTCTGGCATCACGAAAGCCTTACCAGACTCGTCCAAAGGCTCTTCAGGGGTGCGCTAAATTCGGCATGTTCAATTAATAATTATACAATGCCGCTCATGCTCTCTTCATTTAACTACCTGATTTGTGAGTCTTTCGTAATTGTAAATGACAGTCTGGCTGTGCATATTCCATAGAATAAATGATAAATAATAGGTACTACAATTTCATAAAATTGTAATATTATTTACCATGAGACAAATTTCCAAATCCGGGAAAACTAGAGCAAAAATTTTCTAACTTTTGCAATTTTGAAGAGGCCGCCAGACTACATCTGCTAATTTCGCAAATCAGCCAGACATGCTTTTGATTATAGTTTATGATAGTATGAAATGATACGTTAAATTTCAAGCAGAGAAAAATAAGGGTTGCGGATGTCAAAAGTTTGTTTTTTTACATCTTTTCGTTCTTAAGATTTTTTAAAAACGTATACAGGGTGTTTCGAAAAATCAAATGTTGGGAAAGGAATTAATATTGAAGGGAAACTCGAACTGTAAGGGGGTGAAACCACCCTTCAAATATTAGAATATTTTTTATTTAAAAACCGGTGAGTTTTTCGGAAAAACTCGTATATTTTATTTTGTTGTTTTACATATTTTAAGGTTTTTTAAAAATTTATACAGGGTATTTCATAAAATATGACCATCGAGTAATCACGATTCTGCTTAAACTGCTTGACGTTTAAAGCTGATTTTTGGTAAACGGATTGATTGTGGGGTGTAGAAGTTCGATAAGGAGAGGTTTCTCGAATCTCAAATTCCAAAAGGGCGAAACACCCTCCAAATATGACAATATTTGTAATTTAAGAGAAAGAGAGAGAGAGATAGAGAGGTATTGATTTATAGACCGCGTCAACAGCCAGGGTTTTTTAGCGCTCAATAATAAGTTTTATTTAATATGAGGTTATTTTAAATTATTTTAAGTTAGAAATTAAAGTTTTTTCGTTATATTGATGCTGTCTAAGAATTCCATAACTTTATTAATCGTCGAAATGTTAAAAGGCGCGAAAATATTCTCATAGGTACCACAGCATTAAAGAATCTAGACCTATGGGAGGCAACAGGTAAGCATTCAAAAAGGATGTGTCTCATTGACATTAAGTTATTGCATAAGGTGCATTTTGGAGGGGGTTCATTTCTAATAATATATGATTTGGTAAGATATGAGTGTCCTGTGAGGGTTCTAACAACTTTACAGACAGATACGCGTTCAAGAGAATATATATTTTGATACAGATGAAGAAGTGGCATATGTGACCTAAGTTTATTAGTTTCCTCGAGGATGTCCCATTCATTTTGAAGTATACTGAAGAACACTTTTTTGTGGAAATTTCTGAAATCGACAACGGATGGAGTTCCTTCAATATTCTGTAAGAGCGTTGCCTCGTTAGCCAGTTTGTCTGCTCGGTCGTTACCAGCAATGTCAGAGTGTCCAGGAATCCACATAAAGTTAACATTGTAGTTTCTTTCAGTAAGTTTATATACTAGATCTCGAATGCTGCAGGTTAGAGAGTTTTTGGAGTTTAAAGAAGCAATACTGTTGAGGGAACTACGTGAATCAGATAGTATTAATGCTTCAATCGGTGGTATGCTCCGAATTTGGATAAAAGCCTGATAAATAGCGGTGAGTTCGGCTGTTAAAATGCCAGAGAAATTAGGTAATCTAATTTTTTTATTAGCAACCGGGCTGTAAAAAGCACAGCCAACACCTTGATCAGATTTCGAGCCATCTGTGTAAAAACAAATATAGTCACGATATTTTTCGTCTAAAATTTGTATTAGACTAGTTTTGCAAATATATCTGGATGTTTCAGATTTTTTTTAATTTACAAAGTTCCATATTGACTGAAATAGGATCCTTCCATGGAGGGGGCTGTGTGTCGGAAAAAGTGGATACAGGGATATTAGGAATGTTTTTTTAGGAGGAAAATAGGTGGTATCTTATATTAATGGGGCGTTGGTTATTTTGGATAAACGGTATACATTTCACTGTCTTGTAAGTCGAAGAACTTGCCATAGTCAATCAAAAAAGGCTTTGACTTAATGAATATTCCATAATTAAGAATATGGAGAATTCTCCTGTGATACAAGGAAGAATATCCAGATAAGGCACAAAGATATTTGTTATTTAAAAAACGGTTAGTCTTTCGGGAAAACGCTTGGACACGCATAATTTATTTTGTTTTTTACATATTTTGAAATTTTTTATAAAATCATACAGGGTGTTCCAAAAAAAGTTGGGTAATTGATTAACCACGATTCTGCTTAAATTGCTTGACGTAAAAAGCTTATTTTTGGCAAACGGATTTTTCGAAAGTCAAATTCCAACGAGATGAAACTACCTCTCAAATATTACCAAGTTATATTAATAATATCGCCATATTGTTTTTTCTCATGCTGACATCAATGTGAGAAAAATTTATCCAGTTTATATATTAATGGAAATTCTTGCTTTGCTTTATCATCACCATTACAAATGATTAATTCGACGCTAACGAAGTCTGTAGTCGCGGGTACGCGATAGTCTGTTATAAATGCAAAGCACGGCTTGGTCATAAAACTTTTTGGTCGTTTTAAGTCCAGTTGGATTATTTTAGTTTTGGTACTACAAAGTACCAGTCAATTTTCAATTAATTTTTTTTTCGTTTGTGTTATTGTTTTAACAAAAGATATTTTTTTTAGGTCAGAATGAAACCAAATTAATTGAACGAGACGTACAATTACAGATCGAAGAGCTCTTGAGTGATTTAAGATCAAAGTCCCTAGTACTACCAAGACAATTTTCACTGCAGGAATGGAGGGGCGAAGCTGCTAGAAAAATTGCCGGGTTTGAAGAACAAATAAAGAGGGCATACGATCGACATCCCTTGGTTGTTTCACATACGGATGGAAAAGTATGGACAATATGGAATGCAATTGTATATTGTTCAACGTTGTACACAACAATAGGTTAGGTATTTTATTTAAAGTATTGAATAAAAAGACTAAGGAAGGAGCATGTCTAGGGTTACCAGATGTCCGGATTAATCCGGACATGTCCGGATTTTAACTGCTTCTGGTTGAGTCCGGGTGGATCTTTCATAAGCGTCCGAATTTTAATGTCCATTAAGAATGTCGCAATAACGCAAAATAATATACAGGGTGGGCCAATGGAAACTTTCCACCCCAATTTTTCTCGTTTAAAATTAAAATTTAGAAAAACGCTCGGACACGTCGATTTAATTTTCGAGGGGGAAAAGAAAATATCATAAAATCACTTTCACACCTATAACCCCCAAGGCGAGGGCGGCACCACCCCTAAATTCTTAAATGGAAAGAGGGGCCGAGTGTTTTTGTGAAAGGTCTTTCAATTCCCTTTCTAATGATATAAGATATCATGTACTTTCTTTCAGTAGTTTTAGAGATTTAGTGATTTAAAGTAGATTTTAATTTATCAGCTAAGTGGTGAAAAAATCGGTTTTTATTTTTTTTCTCTCTCTGTATGTATTTTTTTGGCAAACTATGTATACTAAAAATTTTAACTAATCAATCTGCATCGATCCACGCCCAAAAATCTTTCAATTCGGAATAAGTGAAAAATGCTCAATTTTGACCGGGAAAATTTTTAGAAATTTTAAAAAATAAAAAGAAAATTTAAGCTTTTTTATTTTTTATTTAAAAGCTTAATTTTTAGTATACAGAGTTTGCCAAAAATATACATACAGAGAGAGAAAAAAATTCCGCTTTTTTCACCACTTAGCTGATAAATTAAAATCTACTTTAAATCAATAAATGTCTAAAACTACTGAACGAAAGTACATGATATCTATATCACTAGAAAGGGAATTGAAATACCTTTTACATAAGGTATCACTCGGCCCCCCTTTCCATTTAAGAATTTAGGGGTGGTGCCGCCCCCGCCTTGGGGGTTATAGGTGTAAAAGTGATTTCATGATATTTTCTTTTCCCCCTCGAAAACTAAATCGAAGTGTCCGGGCGTTTTTCCAAACTTTAATTTTTAACGAGAAAAACTGGCGTGGAAAGTTTCCATTGACCCACCCTGTATAATAGTTTTAATAAATTTAGTTACTTAAAAAATCGTCGATAAATTCAGCAGTGTAAGTTCATTGTTTTATTTCGTAAGTTTTAAGTTTTGAAAGTTATAAATGTATTTTGTTTTTCAAACGTCACAAAAGTATTAATTTTTGCGAAATGATTGACAACATAAAAAAGTTTATTTAACGCCTAGGAATAAAAGTAAAACACTTTTACGCCTAAGCACAAAAGTACGGTAATATACAAAGGTAATATATTGTTAACTGACATAAAGTGTCAAATTCAACGAGCGTAACCATAGTTTCTCGATATATAATTACTTCAGCTTGATTTTCATGTATCCGTTATCCGACGATACGATATTAATTTTATTGGTTGATTTTAAAGGCTTCGATTGGTTAACCGTTTCTCACCAATCGAAGCCTTTAAATTCAACGGATGCATGAAAATCAAGCTTTATACGTTCATACAATGGTCCGACGGTGCTCTGATTGGTCACAGCGTTTTCGCGCCACTTTTCATACGTAAATATTTTACTTCAGCCCGTCAACGGACCCGTTCATACGATAACGGACGTTTTGACACTTTTTTCAAATTTTTTGACTTTCAGTCAAAGTCTTTAAATTCTATCAATAAGATTAATATCGTATCAAGTGGTATCAACGTATCGTCGGACAACGGATGCATGAAATTCAAGCTTTACAAGGGATTATTTTAAATCTTTTTATATTATTTGAAACGCTTGAAATTGTTTAAAAATTATTTGTAGCGTTTGAAAAAAAAATAGCATGTTCTATTCGGAGTCAAAATGATTTTTGTGCTTCGCCTGTATGTCAAACGTAGGTACAGCCTGGCCACAAAAAGTATCATTTTTACTCCTAATAAAACAATATCCTATTTTTGCTCTTATATCGCTAAAAAAATTTTGACGTCCGGATTTTGTCCGGATTTTAGGGAAAGCTTGCCCGGTGTGGACAAGTTTTCATGTGGCAACCCTAAGCATATCAAAAAACTAAGGTTAAATTCTTGTTAAGTTCTGATACAATTTCCTTCTAGATTTACTACCTCTAAACAAAACCGATTGTAGGACCAATAAAAAATATAAAATAAGCTCAGTAAAGACAAATACAGAAAATTTCAAATCAAATTCAAATGTTTCCATTCAGACGTCAAACTGTCAAGGATGGGGACCTATCATGTCGATTTCGTCTACCATGCTTGAATACCATGGATAAGCATTATACTCCTTTCTTAATATTTTTATTCAAAGATTTTAATCGTTAATTCGAAGTTTAATATCACGTTTTTTGACTATTAAAATAATTTTAAGTCCATTTATTTTCTTTGTTTTTTTACAGAAAGAAATATAAAACTTGAGAGCTGTCAATTCTCTTAAAAAAACCAATAATGCACCTGGCGAATGTTACCATTCGTTCGCATTTGTATACCGGGTGGTGCATCGTCGTTGGAAACAGGAAATCCCATGCAAATTTCGAACTATTGGCAGATATTGGCTCCGCTGTTGGTGGCAATACCAAACGAATGCCAACGTACCTTAAGTTGTCTACCTATGATTTTATCATTGCCAAATGTAATTTGTTGTGCTGTCTAAAAACTTGTTGGAATTAGGCAAAAGCCTACGGTATAGAAAATACAATTTGGCATTCACAAAATCATAGGTTGACAACTTAAAGGTGGGTATTCACTTGCAACAAAACACTCTGAACGAACCAAACGCGCTGTAACAAGTTTGTGTAGTCACTACGTTGCGCCGAACCGAACCGAACGCGCCAAGCATTTTCCGAAGCTTGTCGGTAAACGGGATTTGCTCAAAAGAATTTGTTCGTTGGCTGGTATTCAGTGGATACGGCAGTTTTGAACGTTCGTTGTGTTTGGGGTGTTTTTAAACTGTACCTAGCTATAGAGTGGAACAGAGAAAAGTGTTTAGAGTTAATTGATGAGTTTGAAAGGCGACCTATTTTATTAAATTAATAATTAATTATTAAATTAATTAAATTCTTCTTATGCATATAATCTAGGAAACTAAGTAAGGCCATATTATATTGACGGCGCAAAAAGAGGCGTCTTGCCCACATTTTTCGTCCTTTTTTGTTACCCGCTAATGCCTCTATAATTAAAAAAGCACCAGCGGCTATGGTAATATCAGATGCATCTTTATCGACAAACACACTAACACTGATTCACACACTGATTACTGGTGGAAACGCAGCGAACACTGCAAACAGGCGAAACGTTCCGCGCAAAATGTTTTGTTGCAGGTCGTTCAGAGCGCTCCCGGAAAATGTTTTGTTGCAGATTGTTTGGAGTGCGCGGCGCGTTTGGTTTGTTCGGAGTGTTTTGTTGCAAGTGAATACGCACCTTAAGGTGTCGGCATTTGCCTGGTTTTGTATTGTTACTTGTTCAGTTTCAATTTAAAAATAGATGCAGTTTTTCTTGAATTAGTTAAAATGGTCTTGTTCAAATTTGACACGTGTATTCAGCATAAGCAAATCTTTAAAAAAACTATTTACCATTTTGCTGTAAAATCAACAAAGGAGCCAATATTTGGACAGATCAGAATTTGCATGCGATTTCCTATGTTTTCAAGGACGATGTACCACCCGTTATAGTCATTCACACCATTGCTACCCGTTCGCAACATGGGGTGACATATTTGACTGAATTTCTTTGTTTTGCTAACATTTCCTAATTGAAATGATTATGAACAATAGCAATAGCAACAATAGCAACATTTGCAGCCATTCGCTACTCGATTTTTCATTTGATCTATTTACTTTTACCGACAGAAGATGAAGCATTTCGTTCTCAACTCATTCGTTTAGCCTACATTCGTTAGAAATGCACTCTACACCTGAGACAGATTTCCTCTTGAAAGCGGACTTGGATATTTTAAATGTAAAAAGCTATCATTGAATCAATCAGACTGCTTCAAGGCAGGTTCCTGAAGCAGTCAGACTGCTTCAGTAAGACTGAAAGGCGGAAAACGGTGCTTGTGTCCACACGTTTCATTTTGCAGTTGAATACATTCGATTCTTAATACATGGCAACTGTAAAATATACACTACTCTGCAAAAAAGCAAAATTCTAGCGTTCTAGTACCATTACTGGTGATTCCTATGTAGAATGCAGAATGAGTGGGAGGGGGTGAAGGTTAATCATTGTGACCTAAAGATCTATTGTGTCCCCTTTCCTTGAGTTATAATTCATCGACGACAACCACGAAGATTTTCCTGCTGTAGAGGGGATAGGCCTTTTACGTCCTTCACAGTTGAGGAGCTTGTCTCCGGCTGAGGTACTCGAGCCACTCGAGGTGGTGGATCTGTCTCCATTTTCACCACCTCTTTGACTTCAAAAACTAAAGTTTTGTCATATAAAAGTACTATACAACCTTTTGTACTTAATAACACCACTATTGACGTCGTGGACTCTGTGAAATTCTTAGGACTTGTTGTAGACAACTCGTTAACATGGGACTTGCACATCGAAGCCTTATCAAAGAAACTAAGCTCTGCCTGTTTTGCGCTAAGATCAGTTTCTAAGGAACTTAACTTCTCAACCTCGAGAATAGCCTATTATGTCCTTTTGAGTCACATCTTCGTTATGCCCTTCCATTCTGGGCTGCGCAACAAAATTTGATCGTATTTTCAGACTTCAAAAGAGAGCAGTTCGATATTTATTGGGACTGAACAGGAGTTCAGTGCCAATAAATATCGAACAACCAGAATTTCTTTAAAAATTTCAAAATACTGACTCTTCCTTCTTTATTCATTTTTGAATCCGTTTGCTTAATCCGCAAGCATATATCTGCTATTCCGGAAAGGCCATCTTATAACTATCCACTTAGGAATGCGGAGCACGATCTTTATCTACCAACCCCGAGCTCAGAACTAGTTAAAGGTTCAATACTGTACAATGCCAAAAAAATGTACAATCATCTGCCTTTGAATATCAAGTCGCTTTCATTCTTTTCCGCATTTCGCAAAGCTCTAAAATCATACTTACTGGAGATTTTAAAATTTTGACCATCTCACACACTGATCAAAAGTCAAGTATTTAATATTTTATAACTCTAAAATTATATCTATTTACTGCGTACTGTTCTGCAATTGTCCATGTATATTCTTTTTGTTATTTTAATGTCTTAAATTTATTTGAATTGTATTATTTGTATTATGTATTTTTTGTTGTTTGTATTTTTTTGTGCTTTTGTTTGTTTTGTGAGTGCTTTGTCGATGAAGTCGTTTTGGCTTTTTGTACAATAAAGCGTTGTTTATTATTATATATTCGCCTCTCTTTAGACCTGATACCGGTGTTGTCCCGAATAAATAATAGAGGATATATCCCTCTTTTCCTATTGTCTCCTTGGATTTGAGGTCAATTCCTATTGTGGGGGCCTGACCATGAACCTCCTCCCTCCAGTTGATGACTCGCCAACTGGATGTCCTTACATTGGAGTTTGAGCCTGAAGGCTCAGCATAAAACTCAGGTGGTGTTTTCCCCTTGCTTCTCGACAGAAAGACCGTGATGGTCACCTTTTTTGAGATGTTTTCTCCCTTCACTGCAACTAATCCCATCAACTCGCGTTTGTTGGTTGGTGGTCAGCACAACCTCTGGGTAATCCTTTGGCAGCACCGCCATTTTCACTTGTCCAGCAATAGCGGCCAAGCTGGTGAACGTTCGAGCTGGTCATTTTCTGTGCCCAAAAAAATTGCGTAGTCTATATATTCTGTGCTCTTGGTGTTGGACGGCTTCCCATTCTGGCTTTTTCTCTCTTTGTCGGAGCAGAGGTGAGAGGTTCTCACTCCTTCTCTTGCTCTTTGGTGGAGATGAAGCAGGCTGTTTCTTGGATCCTTTACTCTCCCCTTTTTCAAGTAATGTTTTCGCTTTCGCTTCCTCTGAAGCAAGTCCTCCGTGGAGCAGTGAGAGGTGTCTTCGTACGCGGATTCTCATGTAGGTATAATGACTCCAAATATAGCTTGCGTTTTCTACCACCCACCATTTTCAGGGGAGCATTTTCCCCTCTTTATTTTTATGATATTTTTATCACTTTTCGATAATAATTATAGAAATTAATTTAATTTGAAGAGGTGATAATAATTAGGTATTTTAGCTGTAAACAATAATAACCAAAAAAAAAATGACCAAAGAATCGTGGACGACTTTTTTTCTGACTGGACGTAAAATGTATTTCTATTATAGTTTCTATATACTTTTATGTAGCAACATATTGCTTTATCTGTAGCTATACACTTATAACTTTATTACCTACTATAGAAAATGTATGAAAGCTAAAACATGTAAAACAGGGGTGAATACAGGAATTTATTTTAGGGGGCCCAAATAAAAAGTAATGTAGAATAGTCTTTTAGGGCGCCATTTTTAATCCAAAAGCCTAATATTCGACCAAATTTATAGATTTTAGGTGGGGCCGGGCCCCATGGGCCCCCCTCTCTGATGTAATGTAGTAAGTAAGCCCCATGGCCCCCCCACTGATGTAAAAAATAAACGAAAAAAAGGCGATGAATAAACGAAACGTTTATTGATTTTATTACAATTTGAATGGGACACACACACCCCTCCTACCCTAAAAAGAGACTACTTCTTACTACAAAAGTCAATGTTTTCAAAACATTTAATAATATCGCTGGTAGCTCAGAAATAACAATGTAGAGGCCAAAATAATCCTTTTCATCCCACCAAATTTTGAAAAAACTGTATAAATAGGTATGAAGTTTTCCACAAAAAAGGGGGTAATGGTGGTTATATTATTAATTTTACATACAGAATCCGTAAGAATGGTGTTAGGGTCGATTTTCATGCAGACCAGTGATATCATTTGTTGATCTTGTAAACATAAAATAACTACAAAATTACAACCAGTTGAGAATAAGTATAAGTTACGACATATTCAGACCTAACAAAAAGAAAATGTCGTAGATGAGACAGTGGAGATTACGCAGAAATAAATGGGGTGCTAGCGAAACTATATTAAAGGAATTAAGTTTTGATGCCAATTCAATTCCAATTTCCATTAATATATCAATGCCATTTCAATTAATATTTAGTGAAAAGTTGGAAAACAGAAGGAAAAAAAATACTTTTCCACACAGGTTGTATTTATTGTTCAGTCAAAATAAACAAAGGAAAGACTAGCTTTCCGTTTCACTGAAAGTATGAATACACTGTTCCATTACACTGCAAACGTGTTATCACTGAGTTCAGTCACACTGTTTCAGTGAGAACCCGCTTTCATAAAAAAAAGTTAAATGATAAGCGCTTTAACTTTGACTGTATAAAAATTCTGTGTATGTAATGTAATTTTTCCTATAAGAAATCTTTTTGGTTTATTGTACTTATGTGTATTCCCTTTTTAGGATATGGTCACCTCTATCCCACAACTTTTACCGGTAGAGTTTTAACAATTGTATATTCTACAATAGGCATTCCACTTTTCTTAATAGCCCTTACCGATTTTGGAAAGCTTTTTACCAGAGGTATTAAATATATATGGTCGCATGTCAGGCGACTGTATTACACCGGAAGTTGTCGCAAAGTACGAAAAACTAGTCAAGTTCAAGTAAGTACTTTTCATAAAGGTACATTTTTTTGATACTAATATAAATTAATAATTACAGGAAATTTTTAAAGGTGCGCAAGTAATGTACAATATTGCTGTATTTCGTCGACCATCAACTCAACAAGTTGATGAATCTGAAAATATAACCAATAAACAAGATAATCAATATCAAACGATTACAGAACCACCAACACCAGGAATTATATCGAACTTCGAAATAGATGACGAATTTAACTTACCAATTACTTTGGCACTTTGTATATTAGTAACTTACATGCTCTGCGGAACTGTTATATTTATGTCTTTGGAAGAATGGGACTTCTTCTCTTCATTTTATTTTATTTTTATATCCATGTCTACAGTTGGATTCGGAGATGTAGTACCAGATCATCCAATATTCATGATATTATCCATTGTATATTTATGTTTTGGCTTAGCCCTTATGACTATGTGTTTTAACGTTGTACAAGATAAATTAAGCGACACATTTACTCATGCATCAGCTAAATTAGGTGGTACGATGGGAATTGGAGATGAGGAAGAAAACGAAGACGTCACAGAACTATCATGCAGTAACTTTGCAGCAGAAACGGATGTTTTACACGAACAACTATCAGAACCAGAAGATAATACAGAAGGAAAGATTGTATCATAACATTTCGCAATTTTGTTAAATGTAATCATACATAAATTTTTCATACGCATTTAACTGAAATGATAATAACATTATTGTAATCGCCAAAAATTATTTTCAGATTAATTTTCCATGACTAATATGAAACAGTATTCTTAAGTTTTGTTATGTAAAAAATTACTAGAGAGTTGTAATAAATTTTGTGTAATAAAATAAAGACTAATTTTGAAATGCATAACAGCTAGTAACGTTTATCTACAATTTTCTTTAATGATTTATATTTGTATTGTAATTCTAAAAGGACTCATACATTGTAAACAAATTTCGCATTATAGCAATGCACAAAGTTGCGTTAGCCATTTTCATCAATAAAAATTACATTAACTAGATTAAATAAATTATGCAAATTTTAATAAATAAAATATCTATAGTATGATCGAAAAAAACGTTAAAAACTTTAAATTATTATTTGCAGAAAATTACTAAAAGTGCACAAGTAATGTACAATATTGCTGTATTTCGTCGACCATCAACTCAACAAGTTGATGAATCTGAAAATATAACCAATAAACAAGATAATCAATATCAAACGATTACAGAACCACCAACACCAGGAATTATATCGAACTTCGAAATAGATGACGAATTTAACTTACCAATTACTTTGGCACTTTGTATATTAGTAACTTACATGCTCGGCGGATCTGTTATATTTATGTCTTTGGAAGATTGGACTTCTTCTCTTCATCTTATTTTATTTTCATATCCATGTCTACAGTTGGATTCGGAGATGTAGTACCAGATCATCCAATATTCATAATATTATCCATTGTATATTTATGTTTTGGCTTAGCCCTTATGACTATGTATTTTAAGGTTGTACAAGATAAATTAAGCGATACATTTACTCATGCATCAGATAAGTTAGGTGGTACGATGGGAATTGAAGATGAGGAAGAAAATGAAGATGTCACAGAACTATCATGCAGTAGCTTTGCAGCAGAAACTGATGTTTTACACGAACAAGTATCAGAACCAGAAAACAATACAGAAGGAAATATTGTATCATAACATTTCGTAATGTTGTTAAATGTAATCATACATAATTTTTTCATATGCATTTAACTGAAATGATGATAACATTATTGTAATCGCCAAATATTATTTTCAGTTTAATTTTCCATGACTAATTCATATTAATAAGCAGTATTCGTAAGTTTTGTTAGGTAAAAAAATAACAAGAGAGTTGTAATAAATTTTGTGTAATAAAATAAAGACGAGTTTCGAAAATGAATACCAACTAGTAACGTTTATCTACAATTATTTTTAATGTTTTATATTTGTAATTCTAAAAGGACACAAACATTGTAAAACGAATATGCCATTACAGTTTAAGTACTTTTAATAGAAGTACATTTTTGATACTAATATAAATTATTATCTGCAGGGAATTACTAAAGGTGCACAAGTAATGTACAATTGCTATATTTCGTCGACCATCAACTCAACAATTTGATGAATCTCAAAATATCACCAATAAACAAGATAATCAATATCAAACAATTACAGAACCACCAACACCTGGAATTTTATCGAACTTCGAAATAGACGATGAATTTAACTTACCAATTATTACTCTGGCACTTTGTATATTAGTAACTTACATGCTCTGTGGAACTGTTATATTTATTTAAAGAAGGCGTCTATTCTTCTCAAAGAGACCTGGTTTAAATTAAAAAAGTAGAAAAAAGACTCAAAGTTTCGGTCTCAACGTTTATATAATGTTAAACTGCTACACGTGTTTCGCTCATACGAGCATCATCAGACAAATACAATTAAAATTAATCCAAATACACGTTCACATTTTACATGACAAAGATGACGTAAAGGAGTTACGTGCTCACTATATTGTAGATCAGAAAAAAAATTACCGATGCATTTTGTACTCTCTGTATTTTTGCTTAGTTGCAGTTGGTCAAAAAACTGTAATAAATCTGACTACAATAGTCCAAATGTGGATATACCAGCGCCTTTATTAGGTGAAGTTTTGTCGCTTCATCCAACAAGTTTTGTTATGTAAAAAAATAACAAGAGAGTTGTAATAAATTTTGTGTAATAAAATAAAGACGAGTTTCGAAAATGAATACCAACTAGTAACGTTTATCTACAATTATTTTTAATGTTTTATATTTGTAATTCTAAAAGGACCCAAACATTGTAAAACGAATATGGCATTATAGTTTAAGTACTTTTAGTAGAAGTACATTTTTGATACTAATATAAATTATTATCTGCAGGGAATTACTAAAGGTGCACAAGTAATGTACAATTGCTATATTTCGTCGACCATCAACTCAACAATTTGATGAATCTCAAAATATCACCAATAAACAAGATAATCAATATCAAACAATTACAGAACCACAAACACCTGGAATTATATCGAACTTCGAAATAGACGATGAATTTAACTTACCAATTATTACTCTGGCACTTTGTATATTAGTAACTTACATGCTCTGTGGAACTGTTATATTTATTTAAAGAAGGCGTCTATTCTTCTCAAAGGTACCTGGTTTAAATTAAAAAAGTAGAAAAAAGACTCAAAGTTTCGGTCTCAACGTTTATATAATGTTAAACTGTTACACGTGTTTGGCTCATACGAGCATCATCAGACAAATACAATTAAAATTAATCCAAATACGCGTTCACATTTTACATGACAAAGATGACGTAAAGGAGTTACGTGCTCTCTATATTGTAGATCAGAAAAAAAATTACCGATGCATTTTGTACTCCCTGTGTTTTTGCTTAGTTGCAGTTGGTCAAAAAACTGTAATAAATCTGACTACAATAGTCCAGCGCCTTTATTAGGTGAAGTTTTGTCGCTTCATCCAACAAAAATTTTAGATTGTACAGGCTTCTCAATTTAAACATAGCTTCTTTGTATACTTTATTACACTGATGTTTGAAAGTCAGGCTGCTGTCTAGGTAAACTCCCAGGTTCTTGGCAACATCGACACATTGGATCAGAGTACCACCAATATATAAATCAATATTGAAAACCATAAAGTTTCTACTCCTCGCATTACCTTCACAAAGTGCATGAGTTTTATTAGAATTTATTATTAGCCCATGGTTACTACACCATGTTTCGTAAGCAGTCAAATCGCGGTTCATAATAGTAATGGAGTCCCCAGCATCTTCAGTGGCAGTTCCGAGATATATCAGTACATCGTCAGCGTATATATTCCAGTACATCGTCAGCGTACATATGCATTTGACACTTACGAATCGCTGATCGCAAATCAGATGTGTATAATAAAAATCAGTGTTCTATAAGAGTAAAATAAGTAATGTACAATATTGCTATACTTCGTCGACCATCAATATCAAACGATTACAGAACCACCAACACCAGAAATTATATCAAACTTCGAAATAGATGACGAATTTAACTTACCAATTGCTCTAGCACTGTGTATATTAGTAACTTACATGCTCTGTGGAGCTGTTCTATGTCTTTGGAAGAATGTGTCTTCGTCTCTTCATTTTATTTTATCTTTATATCCAATGACTAAAGAATTCAAGGACAAATAACAACCAAGAGCAAATTGTTACCATGGCACCAAACAGTGCCGTGGCCATATTTGTTTCTTAACTTAGCTAGTTCAAGGGATATTTATATTTTTGATAAATGTTTTGACTACGCCTATGGTGTAGGTGGTGGCATCATACTAATTACTTACGAAAAAAACGTATTAAAATGTTAACAAAAGGTACAAAACTAGAAAAATAATTATCGAATTCAATAAGAAAACTTAAGAAAACGCTAAAAAGGTGGAGTGAACTGTTTATTTACCTATGAAACGTAACTCCTGGCTCTTTCTTGTCACTGCTGCTTTTACATTTGAAAGCTGAGCAACTAATCAGCATTGTAATAAATATATATAATTAATATATATTGTATAATATATTATACAAAGTTTACTACACACAAACTATTAAAAATTGCTAAAATTGTTGTTGGTGACCAGCTGATGACTCATTGTTTGCCACCAACAGAAAAGGCGTCTAAGGTCACAAATTCTGCTGCAGCCCGTATAGGGGTGTTACATGTCCTTATATTCTTTAGTCATTGTATATATCCATGTTTACAGTTGGATTCGGAGATGTAGATCATCCAGTATTCATAATATTATCCATTGTATATTTATGTTTTGGCTTAGCCCTTATGACTATGTGTTTTAACGTTGTACAAGATAAATTAAGCGATACATTTACTCATGCATCAGCTAAATTAGGTGGTACGATGGGAATTAGAGATGAGGAAGAAAATGAAGACGTCACAGAACTATCATGCAGTAACTTTGCAGCAGAAACGGATGTTTTACACGAACAACTATCAGAACCAGAAGACAATACAGAAGGAAATATTGTATCATAACATTTCGTAATGTTGTTAAATGTAATCATACTCATACATAATTTTTTCATATGCATTTAACTGAAATGATGATAACATTATTGTAATCGCCAAATATTATTTTCAGTTTAATTTTCCATCACTAATATGAAGCAGTATTCGTAAGTTTTGTTATGTTAAAAAATAACAAGAGAGTTGTAATAAAGTTTGTGTAATAAAATAAAGACGAGTTTCGAAAATGAATACCAACTAGTAACGTTTATCTACAATTTTTTTTGATGTTTTATATTTGTAATTCTAAATGAACCCAAACATTGTAAAACGAATATGAATTAAGTACTTTTAATAGAAGTACATTTTTGATACTAATATAAATTATTATCTGCAGGGAATTACTAAAGGTGCACAAGTAATGTAAATGCTATATTTCATCGACCATCAATTCAACATGTTGATGAATCTGAAAATATAACCAACAAAGAAGATAATCAATATCAAACGATTTCAGAACCACCAACACCAGGAATTACATCGAACTTCGAAATAGATGACACTTTGTATATTAGTAACTTACATGCTCTGTGGAGCTGTTATATTTATGTCTTTGGAAGAATGGGACTTCTTCTCTTCAACTTATTTTATTTTTATATCCATGTCTACAGTTGGATTCGGAGATATAGTACCAGATCATTCAATATTCATGATATTATCCATTGTATATTTATGTTTTGGCTTAACCCTGATGACTATGTGTTTTAACGTTGTACAAGATAAATTAAGCGATACATTTACTCATGCATCTAGTTTTGTTTAGTTAATATTATTTTGTTGTGTTCAAAAAATGTGTTAATTTTCATTTTTTACAAAAATCTGTAGGTATTTAAGTAATCTACTGGGAACACGGTTTGATAACCAAGTCTATAAAATTTATTGATAGAGAAATTCATGTCAAATGGAAATTCAGGTTTTATTCAAAAAATGAGTTTTTAAAATTATTTTTCATTTTTAAAAAAACAAAGTTATATATTATTAATACTTATAGAATAAGTTTTTATTAAATAACTAGCCGAAATTTTATTCTCTTTATAGAGAGATATTCACAAAATACCGATTTTGGGCGCCATCTTGGCAAGCTGGCGCACGGTGGGGTATTATCATGAAAAAGGTGATCGAAATTCGAAAAAGCAAATGTGTTTAAGATTTGCCAAAAAAAGATAAATGATAAGTTAAATCATCTCTGCCATGAATGGCTTTGCTATGGGTGTGTTTAGTTGCATTCATTTGTTTCAACGAAACGTCAAAGTTGTTACTTCTCACGGATAAGAGGTAAATGGCTAAATTTTATGTTTAAAATTATAAATTGTTGTTGTTCTTGTGATCTTTTTACGTTTATATTATTGTTTTGATTGAAAATGGCTCAGCAAGCTGCAGGTATGTATTCTACAAAAACGTATTATTTATTTTGATATTCTCTATACTAACGATTTTTTTTGCAACTAAAAGTTAGGCGTTCATAAAATTTGATTAAATTTGTGACATTTTTATTATACTTAGACATTTAGTTGCGCATTTCGAAGAATTCAGCATATTGTCTATATACGTTTTACTTAGTAAACATTGGGCTTTCATACAGTAAAATAAAATACTGCACCTTTTTGCGACTTTGCTGATAAAATGAGAAAAACATTCTTGGTTTCCTCTAATTTGTCAATCAGTGATATACTAATGCGAGGTGTAAACCGCGATGGCATTGTTGTGTACAAAGCGATCGCATTAGTGCCATTAGCAGTATAGCACAATTTGGCATTAGTAGCGACTTTAGTGGCATGGGCATTGCTCGCGGATCAGTCGTAAGGCG